CCCCAAAACCCCAAAACCCCAAAACCCCAAAACCCCACTAGAATAGGAAATTATTGAAAATTATTCCAAGTTTCAAACCTGATTTCAATCTAGGTAGTTCTCTAAAGCTGACTATCTTTTATATTCTCTTCTTGTTTTACAGAGCTTTTTCATTTCCTTCTAGCATAAACTTTTTTGCCAGCTCCTTGATCGTTATCTTGTAATACTCCCTCAGTATTATCAGACAACTCTTTATTAGTTTGTTCTAAAGAAGGTTCAAGGTTGGTAACTTTGTCAAACTTCTTACAAGATTTTGCTTTATTTTTAGGCTTTCCCACAGATAATTTCTTGTTGTTCTTCTTCTTAAAAAGACTTGTGAGAGCTGGTAGAGAAATGACCTCTCCATCACTAGTGGTTATCGCATCTATGATGTATTTTCCATTCTTGTAACTCCCGGTGAAATCTAATATCTCAGCTGTATCTACCTTCTCAAGTTCAGTTTCAGGCTCTAATGGGGCCCCTCCAGGTCTTGGATTAGCCTGGTTGTACTCATTAATCAACTCTTGATTCAGGAGATCTATTTTGTGAATTGTATTGGTGATATAGCTCTCCTTCTCATGATGGATTTCAGACTGGAGGTGATTATAAAATCCTTCGTTTGTATATCTCCTACAGATTGATCAGTATTGGATAGAAATCTTGAGATACGGATCTGGGATCTGCTCTGAAACAATATTATCCTCTTTCTTTTTCTGAGCCTTTCTCTTCATTGTTTTCTCATACCTTTCTTCCAATTCTTCTTTCTTAGCTATTATATTCTGATACTCAGAGTCTGTCAAAAATACACTAGATAAATTCGGAACGTCAAGATAAAGTTTATGGACTTCAATATAAGTCGCATATAAATCATCCATATTTAGGATTTGTTCGAAAATATGAGATTCTTGTTTAGCCATTCAGTTGAATAAATTCCTCTTATCATAAGACGTGACTCAAAAAACCCTATTTTTATCACCTATCTGGTCTATCATTCCGCATTTGTCTCTGTCCTGGTGCCAGTCAAGCCTTGTAGAGTCTAGATAAAGAAGGATCGAGCAGAATTCCTTCAAGGAGAGTATCTTGAAATTTTCTAGTGGCTCACTGTCTATAAGGTCATCTATGTAAGCATTCTCTTGGGCATTACTAAAAGCGGTTTTTCGAGAATCAGGCTTCTGCTCTGTTTCAACCTTTACTTGGGGGATCGGCTGATCGTTTTGATTATTCCTTTGGTTGATAGCCTGCTGGTGACCAGAATTGATATTTTGATGGGGTTCAACTTTCAAATGAAAGTGAGGATCATCTTGGATGTTGTAAAGAGGATCAATTTGTAAGTGGTAGTGAGGATCTGATGTAATATTCTGGTCAAGATTCTCTTGAGTATTTATTTGAACATTCTGCTCAAGACCTATCTGAACAATCTGCTGTGTCTCAGTTTTAATACCCTGTTTAGCGTCTGAAAGAATATTTTGTTGAACACCCTCTTGTTGATTATATTCTGCATTATTTGCTTCATCCATTCCTGGTTCTTCTGTAGTTACTTCTTCCTTTACTTCAATTTTCTCATCTACTTTTATATTAATATTCTGATATTGTTGATTTTCTGCTGTTGTATTTGTCTCATTAATAGACACATTTTCAATTAAATTTGGAGGTTCATTTTGTATTGTTCCTGAAAGTCCTTCTTGTGGTACAAGTCCTTCTTGTGATATAAGCCCTTCTTGTGATACAAGCCCTTCTTGAGGTATAAGTCCCTCTTGAGCTGCAAGTTCCTTCCTCATTTGCTCTATTAATTCCCTCTTTTTCTTCCTTGCAAATTCTTTTTCTTTCTGAATGGTAAGTTCTCTCTCCTTTTGAAGTTTTGGATCTTGCTTAGTTTTATATAACTTCTCTAGGTCAATATCAATAGTAGCTGCTAGCCTTTTGAATTCTTTGGACGATCAACTTTCGCCTACAAAGACATAATAATCAACATTGAATTTGACGTTGATGACTACTCCATTTAGCTTTTTAACTTTCTGCTCGAATGCGGATTTTACACTAAACCTTGTACCTTGTTCAAAGCCGATGAAGAACCTCAGTCCTCCTAGGTGACCTTCATCTAGTCACTTTTGGAATAAATTATGATAATGTCCAGATTCCATCAATAACCCCTCTGCAGCCATCTTTTAATATGAATGTTTAAATAACAAGTGTAATAAACCGATTGATATTATTTTAAAGATAGCTAATGTATGAATATATAAAAATTAGTTTTTGCATTAGACTAGGCTGTCCTAAGGAGATCAAGATCAGCCTCTAGCAAAGCCTTTTTTAAAGTCCTCCTCTTAGCTTTTGAGTCTGAGGGAATCTTTGATTGAAGTAAAGAAGACCTGTAAAGATGGTACATGAAATAACATACGTAGACGCCACAGTCAAATGAGTTCTTTTGTTGGGGACACTGAATATCCGTTCTTATTTCAAATTCTTTACCTTTATCTAAATTAATCCACTTGCTATTCTCTCAATATTTCTTAAGCATAGGCATTGCATGCTCAATATCTTTTGATTCTTCTCATTGGTTACTATCATAGACCTTGATTTCTGTATCTTCGATCTTGATTAAAACTAGGACCCAGTGACTTTCATCACAATGAACAGGCATAATGATTGTATTAATATTTTCCTTTGCTTGTTTTCTTGCTCTAGCTTCAAAAATTTCATCAATTTTATTCCATTCTTCATCCCTTCCATATAGCTTAATACGTTCAAATACGAGGCTTTCTACTACAATGGAAGACTCTACATTCCTTCTCTCTTCTTCTCTGAAGATCTTTATCGGGGTAATCTGAAGGAGCTTGACCATACAGTTAATTACCTCATCATTGACCCATTCTTTATTATCGAGATGGGCAAAACTTGTAATTTGGATATCATAATACCTGATTTTCTGCACAAATTCAGAAGTTTTTTCACGTTTAGGAACTAAGGGCTTGGGGGCTGCTCCTGCAGCCTTCCAGCCCTTAGGTTTTACCCGTACAAAGACTTCTACTTTATCGGTAGATCCGAGATTTAGAATCTTTCTAAAGGTTTTTCACTATTTTTCTTCCCTTCTTAGAAGCTAACTTCTGAGTAACCTCTAGAAGAGGAGCTACCTGGTTCTGGTCATGAGCCTTTAGAACTTCCTTAGTAAGACGCTTCATCTTTTTGATGGAATAGATTTTAGGAAAAAGGCTACTTTTGGGTAATTTTTGGAGAATTTAAGGGAAAAAAGGATTTTTATGGGGTTTTGGGGTTTTGGGGTTTTGGGGTTTTGGGG